CCAGGATGGGGTCCCCGTGACCCCATCTGTGCTTGGCTGGAGACGTTGCAAGAAATGGCGGCTAATCGATGTCAGTGGCGTTCGTGCTGTCAGTTTCTTTCCAGATTGTCTGATTGGGCGGTTGGAGGTGTAGGCACCTCAGTATGCTTGACATAGTACTAGGCTAGGTCCCCTCCCTCACCGACTCTTTTTCTCTTCTCTTCACTGTAGGGCTTTTAATACGATTATATACATATATATATAACGAACTTTATTGTACGGCAGTGAAGCATCAGTGCCAAGATTGTTGTTGCTGTCATTGATGATGATGATTATTTCTTCGTGGAACAGTATATCTAACATGCCTGTGAACGTTTAGTCAGCTACACTTAGCTAATGTTTTCTTCTAAATTTTCAAGTGCAAACCACGTAGGGTAATTCGAATATATCACGAGTAAGTAACGTTTTCTTATTCCTTACATTGCTCACGATATCCAGCAACAAAATAAAAGCAGACATGTGTACAAAATGCACGGTTTTACGTGAAGCTTATGCTTGAGTGGGCAGGTTAACCGGTCGTGCGTCTGTAAGTTTAAACCAAATCCCAGGACACCAAAAGGGTAGTCGACTACAACTGTAGCAAAAGTAAACCGTACAAACTTGTTACATTCAAAAATTAGGGAACGAAAATTGTCTTGTATAAACATAGTTCTCCATGACCGTTATATTTCTTCCTCCAGCAGGCAGCCTGTAGCATTATAATGAATAATGTAAGGATAATAACGTGGGAGAAACAATGTGCGCAACATTCTTTGAGTTGTTAACATTGGCTTCAAAACACTTTTATTATTCTACCATATTGACATGAAAGGAGCACTGTTTGTGAGAGCATAATTTACTATAATTTTGTCAATAATTTTCTAATGCCGGATTCACCCAAAAGTGCCGGGGAAACCACACATACGATCGTAAATCAAACAACCGAACAGACTTTGTGATCCTCACATCATATAGGAGTTTTTGCAACGTGAACTTTGAGAAACAACTACGAGTCACCATGAATGCCTTTCCATCATTCATTGAGAAAATCCACTTTAAGATTCTGGAAGTGGTATGCTGGAAATTCGGTTGATCAGTAGTTGGTTGACTGGTATACTCATAATAGTGAACTAGGATAAAAATTATTTTGACGTTCAGTGAAGGCTAGCGATAACGTCGAACGAATAATGGTAACTAAGCCCTCAACATCTAATCCATAACTGATAGTCATGCAAATGTATCATGGTCATCTCTCCATGTAATAGCGGCTGTCGTTGGATTTATGCTTTTGATAAATCGCAACGATGTCAGAATATTTTTTCGTCAAGAAAATTTCCACTTTCATTTTAAATTTTACACTATTCGTCAGAATCTCACTTGAATATCCTATATGGAGCACTCTGAAAAAAACCGGTTACAGTTACTAAGAGCTTGCGGGGATCAAGCATTCCACACAAAACATAAGGAAAGACATAACAGCTTGACGTAGAGCTTTGATCTATGGTGCTAACAAATTTGCCGGCAACATCAATCAAATTCTTGTTGACATCACTTTTGTTTGTTTAATCAAACAAAAAATAATACGTTTTCACACGCCTCTAAGTTCTGTTGAAACATCACATGTTTACAAAAAAATATAAATTGAAAAGAAACTCCGCAAGCGGATGAATCCTTTTGTCCCTTGCGAAATTCTAGCTTCAGTAAGTGCTCTAGTTTGTCTTACCTCCATACTCAAACTGTGCACAATTATCCCTTCTAGATTATTTTGCTAAAAATAAGGTTTCTTCTGTGGCTCATAAAATATTCACAGGTTCTTCGCCTTAAAGGTATGTTTTCTTGATTCAAACCAAACGAATGGTATCCATTAAACCAAAGCTTTTTAAGCTTTGGATGCTGTGAATTATTTCTACGTTTTACCAAAGATACTATTTAGGTTAGTCATTGTGCATCGATTAAAACTCCTTTCGGTAACATTCGCGAGTGGCTTTTTTGTAACAAGCATGGATAAGTGCACCTCCGAACAAATAAAACGAGTGTTATAAAGCCATCTATAAAATAGAGTTTTAGAGATATAAATGCAACTGTGACATTTGGACTTTGTTTTCAAAAGAAATTCATTTTGGCGCCACCAATGCAAAAGACCTTAAGATATCCAGAGACGAGTAAGTGGTGAACAGACTCGTCGAATTTCCTCTTTATGTTATTACACAACAGTCAGATAATAGTTATTATCCTGTTTTTTATTTTATAACTGATAATCCGGGTGAGTTGAGAGGAATCACGTTTTTCGCGCATGAGCGTTCTAGGTAATTTTGATTGGAATGAGTGGCTGGGGAAGAGATTTAACAGACTGAACTGCATCAAATGTGGGTGGCAAACTTGATCATTATTTATATACACCACTACTAGACAATTTAAATGCATCGGAATCCGAGAAAATCAGGAAATTTGTTTTATTTGAGGATTATTCAAACAATTGGGGAAAAAATCACCACAGAATCAGAACTTCCTCTAAGAGGTTAATTGATCCCAACTATATATAACGTGTTCCAACCACAATTCAAATTTTTGCACGTTTAAAGTCTCTCAGTTTTTTTAATGCCATTTATTTATCTGGCATATATTAGAATTTACGCCACACGGAAATCCGTGTGATTTTTACAGACTTACTGGGTGAATCTATCAAAAATATAAACAATGGCCAATGTTCAAGCTTCACAGATGAGTGCATTCTGAGCAAGTTTCCGATGGGCATTGGAGTCCCATGGATGAATGAAATACAGCTACAGGAAAAATACTGAAATGCAAAACGATTCTCAAGTAATCTCTTTGGTTTTTACTTCTTAGGAATATTCTAGTTTCCACCATTTTTACTCTGCAGCTTAAAGGTTTCTGTTGGACATGAGTGGATTAAAAATCACTTGAAAACCTGCCTTGCTTTAAGATCCTCACTGTTTACTGAAAGATCATTATTCACATCATTATTATATGCATATGTGCGCGTTATAGTCCCTAGGAAAGCTGTTCTTTTAAGGCGGCCTATCAATATGTTGGGAGGAATGGCTCTTTACTCCTCACTGAAGTAAGCAGTATACCAAATAGCATTCAATGTATTTGTTTTTGACCTTACTTCATCAATGTACTTGTTGCAGTGATTTACATCCAAATTATCTAGTTTTGAGTGTTCTTGCTCAGGTTTTCCGCAGCTCACATGTAGAGCATCCAATTTGTCGGATATGGCGTATGTGGAGAGATAAGCTTCGGCACGTGGGATGATGCAACTTTTAGAAAACCCCAAATACTCTTCCAGTTTTGTATTGCACCAATCAACATCATACATATATTTATACATATATATGTATATATGTAATTGCAAGCACCAAGAGCCAACATGCAGTATAATATGTAAAGTGAGAAAAAATGGATAACCTGCGTAAAATTTCGAAGTTCACCAGGGTTATTCAAAATG